AAGGCCCTTTGCTCTGGGACCAGGAAAAGGCCAACTGGTGATCTTATAATCTAGTTCATTCTCCACTCCATACAAAGTCCAAAATCCATAGGCCAGCTTCTAGCTGGCCCATTCTGATTTGATATTAGTAGTATCATAGTTATTGATACCTGATCTTAGACAAGGGAGCATTACTATTAAGGGTTGAATTATGTCTCCCCACAAACTCACATATTGAAATCTTAGCCCCAAGCACCTTAGAATGTGACCTTATTCAGAATAGAGTCATTAGAGATGTAATTAGTTAAGATGAGGTCACACTGGTGTAGGGTGGACACCTAATTTAATACCACTAGTGTTCTCATACAAGGGAAAATATGGACATAGACAACACACAGAGAGAATGCCATGTGCAAATGAAGGCAGGTATTGGGTGATGTTTCTACAAGTCAACGAACAGCAAAGATTGCCAGCAACTACCAGAAGCTAAGGAAGAGGCCTGAAACAGATTCTTCCTCATGGTCCTTAGAAAGAACTAACCTTGCCAATATCTTTATTTTGCATTCTAGTCTCCAAATGTGAGACTAGACAACATATTTCTGTTGTTTAAGCCCCCTGGTTTATGGTACTCTGTTAAAGCAGCCCTAGAAAATTAAAACAGCCTCTAACTAATACAAATACAGTTTCTTACCTGAAAGAAGAATGTAGCTCTACGTTTTTATGGGTTATTATTTTATCATCTAAGATTTTATGACCATAATTTCAGGGCTTAGGAACATGACTTGGTACTTAACTTATGTGTGTTTTAAATGTTCCTTTTTCATTATGTTTAAATTCTGTTAAATCAACAAGTTCATTCCTGAGAAATTACTGATTTGCACTTACTTGTTATACAGGACAATATCCGGCCTCCACACCAGGTCACTGGGGATCCTGATGGAGTCCAGTCCATCATACTGGTCTCGATCCCATGTGAGGTATGCGTCATGCCAGATTTGGCGGATCCACAAATAGGCAGTCAGAATTTGATTTCTTTCATCCTGCACAATTAACCCAGATATAACTATGTCTAGTAGACACCTCAACTGAATGCCCTCCATCTCTGGAATACTTATTCGCAACAGGAATTCCAAGAGCACATTTATTTTCAATAAATAAGTGAGAGCTTTTTCAGTCTATCACCTTGATTGACTTCCAAAGACGTTTTTTTCTGCTTCATTTATTATTTGGAATGTAAAATGGACAAATATTTAGGTTGTTGGATCTTTGCATAGATCAACTGCTCAAATTGTTCTGAAAATTGATCAACTGGCGATTCAGTTGAATGAGAAAGTCAGGAAATACAATGGACAGAAGAAAAGTCTTTCAAGTTTCATTTATGTAATTAAATACATATAAGCACTAAATAATGTATGTTATCTGAAAATGCCACCTTTCTTCTTTTTAAAATTGAGATAAAATTCCCATAACACAAAACTTACCATTTGAACCATTGTAAAGTGTCAGTGACTTTCAGTATATTTGCAATGTTGTGCAATCATCACCACTATCTAATTCCAAAAAATTTTCGTCACCCCCAAAAAGGAATCCTATGACCATTAAGCAGTTACTCACTATTCTTCCTGTCCTTCCCATAACCACTGGCAACCACTACTCTGCTTTCTGTCTCTATGGTTTTTATTTTAGACATTTCATAGAAATGGAATCATATAATATGGAACCCCATCTTTCTTTAGATGATCTAAGACTGTTACTGTTAATGCCCAGGATTAGGTAACATTTAGTAAAATTAATTTTGTAGAAAGTTTCTTTCCCTTGATGTCCCCTTCTCCCACCAGCTTGCACACAGAGCTGTCTGTTCTCAGTCTCTCTCAAATTCTCAGTTAAAACATCCCTTTGGAAAGCACTATTAGTTTCCTTCTAAGCAACATGCCAAAGAGTCACCATTTTATGATACTCACCATATCCTTAATCTGAGAAAGTGTAATCTGTAGTGTGACATTTAGGACTTTATCTGTATCTTCTACTGGACGAAGAGCATTGGAATAATCTTCAAAAAGGTCTCTAAACAACTTCTGAGCATATTTTCCATCTGCTGTTTCTACAGCTGCTCAAAAAGAAAGACCTGGATCAATATTCAGTGTAAAGTGTATTTCAAGGCAAAGAACAACAGACTGAGGACTAGAATTGGGAATAACACAGCATCAGCTAAGGATCAGCTTTGGGTCAATGAGAGTTATTTTTCTGTCATGCCCTACTGGGATCAGCACCAGTCAGTAAGAAGCACAGAACACTTTCTTGCAGTTAGATCATTAGTTTTGTTTCCTGGTCCACTCTGTCTCCCACCAAAAAAGTAGCCCCAGATGAGTGGAAATGGTTACCCATCCTCTAGCCTCTTACCCCTCAGTCTGGAGGTAGCAAAGTAAATCCAGCAAAAGAAGATGTAGGAATGGGGCCAGTTCATCTTCTTTCTGAGCCACTAGAAATTCCCAGCCAGGCAGTACAGTCTTCCACTTTTCTCCATGAGTAAGAAGGGTCCACTAACAAAAATCCCACTCTGCTGCAGACCCCGGCAACCGACTCTGGCAGCCAATAGAGAACTCGGGCTTGCACTGCACAGAGGGCCCCAGGGCCTGAGATCTAGACCCGCCCTCCCTCCCCTCTGGTAATCTGAGACTAGCAGCTCCAGCAGCTGAGATGCCAGGAGCCCCAGGTAGGTTAGGTCATGCAGTATTGCTCTCGGGGGACCATCCCAGTTGAGGGTCTCTAGCTACCCTTAGCAAGAACATCCAGACCAAACTTTTAGGGGAAGAGAGTTAGGTGCTCAGTAACCCCCAAGGTTCGAACCTTAGCAGAATGGGTGCTTCCAATACCTGCAGCAAGCAGATTCAGCCTGAGCTAGGGCCTAAGGGAAGCTAAGCAGACCTAGCCATGGCGCTGTAGTCTGGAAAGGCCTCTTGTGCTTTAA